CGCGGTGAAATGCTGGCCCTTGATTACGACGACACCACATCGGCTGCCGGCGCCGTTCTTCCGGCAGCGCGGACATCGTCAATGATGGCGGGAGTCATTGAAAGTAGACACGTAAACTCGGCCGCCTCGCTGTGCGCAGCCGTCGAGCCACAGGAACGGGGTGATGGTGATGCTCGACGCACCGTGGTCCATAGTCCGCTCCGGTTTCCCGTCTTCGGCCGATCAGGTTTGGCGCAGCAGATCGTGCGGTCTGATGGCAGTTGGGCTGACGGTAAGAGGTCAGCTGGCGTCGAACTGGACCAGGATGCCGTCCTGGGTCATAGACGTAGAAGCTGCGACCCGGCCTTCGGCGTTGGTCCAAAACGTCCATCGGCGCGCGCCAGAGGGACGCCCTGGGCCGACAGGTTTTCGGCCAGAGCCCTGGGGTCGGCAACGCTGAAGGAGATGTGCTGATGCCAACCTGGTCAAGTTTGATCGGTGTTCCATCCGGGTTCTCGCCGGGATGGGAGGTCATCGTGAGGGTGGGCTTGGCGCGGGCGTCGGCGTAGGCGAGAGGCGAACTGGCGACGCGTGGCCCGGTTGTGGGCGTAGACGTGGGGGCAGACCGCCGGTGGTGGTGTCCTGGATGACGTCGCTGACGATGGACATCCCCAGCGCGTCGCAGTGAGAACTTCAACGAGACGTCAAGGTCCCGTACGCAGATGGCAATGTGAGACAACCCCGAGGCGTTCAGCGGGCATGACGGATACTCCTGTTCAGGCGTGTTCGGAGGCGGAGGCCCGACAGAGCCGGCCCGCGTAATCAAGAGGAGCGCAACAGATCGCACCTGCCGCGCGAACTGCACCAGGAGCCGTCGAGTCGTAAACGAAGTATGCTCGGACACATCGCCGTTGGCATGCGTGTGAATGAATGACACGGCCAGCGGACCACAGCGAGTTCACGCCGGCGGCGTGATTGAGCTCGTCGGCAGTGGCCCTGACGTCGAGTCACGCTGAAATGAAAGAGATGTGGCTGATGCCCACTGGTCCAGCTTGATCGCCGCCGCCGTCGGCATCGTCGCCCCGGGAGGTGCTGGTCCATGACAGAGGGTGGCGAGATATGGGACGGCCCGTCGCGTAGGACAGGATGGCCTGCGGCGCGTGGACCGTAGCGCGTAGACGTGATTGCAGAGACACAAGATGTGTCATGCACACGATGTAGTACGGTCACGGTATTGCCAGGAGTTTGGCGCGGTGGGTAGAACTTGAGGGATCGTCCAGATCACGGACGCACACGGCGATATGGGAAACGCGCTGGAAATCATAGCCATGGGATGGCCCTCCTGAGCGAGGGTGGAGCACGCAGTTATCAGCAATTCAGCGATAAGGCTACTGCCGCCATCGGGGAGTCAAAACCGGCGGCGCGTGCATGCCTCCCCCATTGGTCCACCCGTTTCCACACGAGAATGAGCGCGCCCAGGCGAGGAAACATCGCTCCCAAATCCGTGGCCGGAAACGACCACCACACGCCCCAGACGCCGAATGCGTGGGACAGGCCGAAGACCACGCCAGCAGCAGGACAACGCGCTGGGGCCATGGTTCAGCACCACTGATGGCCAGGCCCGGCCCAGGGCCTGAAACGCAATGGAGCTGATGAATTCGATGCCGACAATGGGCAGGGCCAACAGGACAGTACGCAGCGCGGCGCCGGATTCTGCGGGCAGGGCTTCGCGGGTCGAGAAGAGGGTGACGATATGCCCGGCCAGGGGCAAAAGGACGGCGATCATGATTGCGCCGCCGACCGTCGCCCCAGGCAACTCTGCCAGATGGCCTGGCGGACCGGGTCGTAGCATCCGGCGCCCGTAGTTGTAGGCTGCCAACGGCAGGTAGGCCAACGCCGCGCCGATGAACGGGGCCAGCGCGAACTCCAGCACCGCGTTGATGACCCCGAACAGGGCGATGTAAGCGGCGCCGCCTGGGTACTGTCTCAGGATGTTGTTGATGACGACGACGACGATGGACCGCGCGATCTCTATGATGCAGATGGGCGCGCCCAACGCCAGGATCTCTCGGATTAACGGAAAACGGGGCAGCAGGGCATCGGCGGAGATGCGCAATGCGTGCGACCGAAAGATAAAAACCAGCCTCCGTATGAGCACGCCAGCGATTGGGCCAGCACGTGGCGGCGGCGGCTCCGGTTGACGCCCCAGTCGAACACGAGGATGAACACGCGTCCAGGGCGACGTTGACGATGGCGCTGCCGGCCAACACCACGTGGCGGTCGCGGGCGTCTCGGCCATGAGCAGGTTGTTCAGAGTCATGGCGACCATGGTGAACAGGCTGCCCGGAAGGATGATCGCCAGGTACTGATCAGCGTACTCAATCGTATGGGCTGACGCGCCCATCCAGTAGGCCAGCGTGTTCCAGCTGGGCCAGGCCGCCGCGTGGCCAGGAGGTAAACCGGCAGGATTACGGCCAAAGACGAACGATGACACGAGATGCCCGGCGCGAGTCCCGGCTCCCAGCGCGCGCGATACCACCGACATCCGCCCAGCCCGGTTAGCAGGCCGATGGCGACCGCGGCCATCTGCACCGGGAACGCGGCCGACAGACGCTCAGCGCGTCCACGCCCACCACGTTCCCGATGAAGGCGCGATCGACGATGCTGGTGGACATTGCCATCACGATTATGGCGAGCATCGGCGGAAAGGCCATCTGCAGGAGGAGCCGCCACATGGCGCGTTGCCCATGGCGTCGGCCTGTCGGGTGGACTGTTCTGGCGTGTGACATGTGGGAAATGGCTTAAGATTGAAAAGTGGCTTCTGGCTAGAAAGTGGCTTCTCAGTGAAAGTGGCTTAAGAGTGGGGAAATTGCTTACGAGCGGTTTTGACGGTTTAAACGCGGCGATGCTAAAATCAAACGACCACGCATTATAGGAAATTGAGGACGCGTCAGCGCATCCGCCGGGACACCAGTCTCCGTAGCAGCGAGATGGGTGGGGTACGTCAAGGAGGTGTCACATGTCTGGTCATTCGAAGTGGTCGACAATTAAAAGGGCAAAGGGCGCCGCGGACGCCAAGCGGGGCGCGCTGTTCACCAAGTTGGCGCGCAATATCTCCCTGGCCGCCAAGGACGGCGGTGGCGATCCGGATATGAACTTCCGCCTGCGGATCGCGGTTGACCAGGCGAGGTCCAACAATATGCCGTTGGAAAGCATCACCCGGGCCATCCGCCGAGCCACCGGCGAGGGCGGCGAGGGCATGGAGGACCTGGCTGAAGTTACCTACGAGGGATATGTCCCAACGGCGGCGCCATCCTGGTAATGGCGCTGACCACCAACCGCAAACCGGACCGCCTCGGAAGTGCGGTCGGCGTTCAACAAGGGCGGCGGGAACCTGGGCGAATCGGGCTGCGTGGCTTGGAACTTGACAGCCGGGGCGTCATCACCCTCGAGGTGGCTGACGAATCCGTGGCGGAAGAGTTGATCCTGACCGCTATCGACGCCGAGGCCGAGGACGTGAATTTCGAGGACGGCATCCTGGAGGTGTACACGTCCCCGGAGAACCTGCTGTCCGTCAATCCGCCCTGGAAGGAGAGGGGGCGCGGCCCTCGTCCGCCGATGTGTCAATGGTGCCCAGACAGTGATCCCGCTGGAGGACCGGGCGGCGGAGCAGACTTTGAGGCTGTTGGACAGCCTGGAGGAGTTGGCCGACGTACAGAAGGCGTATACCAACGCCGACTTCCCGGAGGAAGTGCTGGAGCGCTACGGGTCTGCCGCCTGATGCGCGTTCTGGCCATTGACCCCGGCACGCTGCGCATGGGTTACGGCGTCCTGGATGCTCATCCCGACCCGGAGGCGGACGACTACGGTGTGGTTGCCCTGCCGTCTTCGATGGCGATTGAGAAGCGTCTTTACCAACTGCATACGCACATCCTCAACATGATCCACATATTCCAGCCCGATGCCATCGCGGTCGAGGATCCGTTCGTGGGCCGCGGTGAGCGGGCGTTTGCAAAATCGGCGTTGGCCATCGGGCAGGCGCAGGCGGTGGTGCTAATCGGCGCGGCCAGCCAGGGAATCCCGGTGCATCGCTACTCGCCCGCCGACGTGAAGATGGCGGTGGCGGACTACGGCCGGGCCACCAAGGAACAGGTGCAGCAGATCGCCGCTTCGAGACTGGGGTTGGAGAACCAGCCGGAATCGGATGCCGCGGACGCTCTGGCAGTGGGCCTGTGCCATCTGCAGCGGATGCAAGCCGACGAGCTGATCGCGCGCGAGATAGCGCCGGGCCAGGAACTTTAGGCAGTGTTGGTCGGCGTGCGGGGCGCGCTGGAAGCCGTCGGCTCTGACTGGGTCAACGTGCAGGTCGGCGGCATCACCTTGCAGGTGTCCGTGCCGGCGTCGGATGTCGCGGGTCTGGGCAGCGTGGGCGAGCAGGTCCGGCTGCACACCATCCTGCGCATCCAGAACGAGCAGCCGATGCTCTATGGGTTCGTGGACGCCGGAGCGGTGGAGCTGTTCGGTGCGCTGACGGGAGTCTCCGGGATCGGCCCCCGTTCGGCATGTCCATTCTGTCGGAGTTGGGAGAAGACGGTTTCCGGCAGGCCGTGGCATCGAGGATGTGGCCGCGTTGTCCAGGCCCAGGGGGTGGGACGGCTTATCGCGCAACGGGTGGTCCTGGAACTGCGGGGCAAACTGCCCGACGCGGATGCCGGATCGCCGGTTATCGCGGCCGCCGGGGGTACCGACGCCGAGGCCGTTGAGGCGCTGACCGCCCTGGGCATGACGCTGGCCGACGCGCGGCAGGCTGTCGCCGGGCTGGAATTGCCGACCGACGCGGCGGTTGAGGACAAGGTGCGGCAGGCGCTACTGGCCATCGGAGGCGGGTAGGGCGATGCCTTATAATTCCGGCAACACCATCGGACCGACGGGCTATTTCCGGCGCCGGATGCCCGGAGCCCGGATGTATGAAGCCCGGATGTACGGAGTGATGAAACGGAGGAACCATGCCTGACTTTCAGCTGGTAGCGGATTTCGGCGTGATGGGCGACCAGGAGCAGGCGGTGCAAAAGCTGTCTGCCGGCGTTCGCGAGGGTCTGGATCACCAGACGCTGCTGGGCGTCACCGGCAGTGGCAAGACCTTCACCATGGCGAACATCGTGCAGGAGGTCCAGAAGCCCACCATCGTCATCGCGCACAATAAGACGCTGGCGGCCCAGCTGGCGACGGAGTTCAAGGAATTCTTCCCGCACAACGCCGTGGAATACTTCGTCTCCTACTACGATTACTACCAGCCGGAAGCGTACATACCGCGCACCGACACCTACATCGAGAAGGACAGCAGCGTCAACGAAGAGCTGGACAAGCTCCGGCTCGCGTCCACAACCTCGCTGCTGACGCGCCGGGATACCCTGATCGTGGCCTCGGTGTCGTGCATCTACGGTCTGGGCGATCCGTCGGACTATTTCGAAATGGTCGCGCACGTTGCAGTGGGCGAGGAATACAACCGCGGGCGCTGCTGCGTCAGTTGATCGACTGCAGTACGAGCGCAACGACACCGACCTGGCGCGCGGGTCGGTTCACCGTGCGCGGGGACACGCTGGAGATCGTCCCGGCCTACGAGGAATTCGCGGTCCGGATCCAGTTCTTCGGCGACGAGATCGAGCGTATCCTGACGCTGGACACGCTGACCGGCGAGGTGCTCAACGAGCGCAGCGAGTTTTCCGTATACCCGGCCAAGCACTTCGTGACCAGCCGGGAGAAGCTGGACGCCGCGCTGATCGACATCGACGCCGAGATGAAAGAGCACGTCGACTGGCTCCGGCAGCAGGGCAAGTTGCTGGAGGCGCAACGCCTGGAGCAGCGCACCCGATACGACATGGAGATGCTGAACGAAACCGGCTTCTGCGCCGGCGTCGAGAACTACGCACGGCACCTGTCCCGCCGCGAGGCCGGCAGCCCGCCGTGGACACTGTTGGACTACTTCCCCGACGATTTCCTGATGTTCGTCGACGAGTCCCACATGACGCTGCCGCAGGTGCGCGGGATGTACAACGGGGACATCTCCCGCAAGACCACGCTGGTGGAGTTCGGGTTCCGCCTGCCGTCGGCGCTGGACAACCGGCCACTGCATTTCAAAGAGTTCGAGGACCACATCAACCAGGTGGTGTACGTCTCCGCGACCCCGGGCCCGCTGGAGCTGGAGCGCACCAGCGCCATCGTGGAGCAGGTTATCCGCCCCACGGCACTGCTGGACCCGACCATAGAGGTCAAGCCCACCGACGGGCAGATCGACGACCTGCTGCATGAAATTCGCCAGCGCGTGGAAAGCCAGGAGCGCGTGCTGGTGACCACGCTGACCAAGCGCATGGCCGAGGAACTGGCCGACTACCTGTCGGAGGCCGGCATCCGCAACCACTACCTGCACTCGGATATCCAAACCTGAACCTCGGGTGGAGATACTGCGCGACCTGCGCCTGGGCATCTACGACGTCATCGTGGGCATCAACCTCCTGCGGGAGGGCCTCGACCTGCCTGAAGTGAGCCTGGTGGCGATCCTGGACGCCGACAAGGAAGGGTACCTGCGGTCAACCACTTCGTGATCCAGACGTCGTCGCGCCGCCCGACACGCCTCCGGGCACGTCATCATGTACGCCGACCGTGTGACCGACTCGATGCAGAGGGCCATCGACGAGACCTACGCGAGCGCGTGCGATCCAGGGTGCGCACAACTGAGCGCCACGGCATCGAGCCGCAGTCGATCCACAAGGCCGTCCGGGACATCACCGAGCCTGCGCGGGGTCGCCGAGACCAAGGCCTCCTACCCAGGTGGCCCGGGAGGAGATGTCGCACGACGACATGTACCGGGTGATCAAGGACCTGGAGTTCCAGATGAAACGGCCGCCCGTTCCCTGGAGTTCGAGAAGGCGGCGCACCTGCGCGACGAGATGCTGGAGTTGAAGAAGATCATCCTCACCGAGGAGAAGATGCTGGCATCGGGTTAGTCCGCTGCCTATCAGCGCTGGGCCGATTGGTCACCAGGTGTGGATGAACCACCCGTCACCGGTGGCGGAACGTCTGTTTGGGCGGTCTTGGGCGTCGCACATCTCCCAATTTTGCGATGGATGCCAGGGCATCGCGTCTTACGTGTTCGCCATAACAGCGATGCAAGTATGATATAGCAGAGTCGGCCACGGTTTATTCCGTTTGAGCGCGATGCCAGCCTCGGGTACCGTCGAAATGGGCGTCGCAGCTCCCACCTGCATTTTCGAGTAACGAAATACCTTTCCACCGCCGGCTGTTATTCCGCCAAACTCAATTAGACGGGATTGCCATGCGATGGATGCTCAGGTCGCTGCGACAACATTGGAGTATCTACGAGCCATCCATCGAGTTTCGCCACGAGGTCCGCATGACCACGCCAGTAACAGGGTCTCTGGCGCTGCTGAAACGCAGGAATTCTTGTGTTTCCCGATCCGCCGGAAATTCCCGAAGACAGACGACCAACTTCGATCACTTGGCCTCCACGGGTTAACGTCCATCACTGATCCAGCATTTGGGCCAGTCCTGAAACCATCCTGGTGGCTGGAGCGCGTTACCTGGGGTTGCGCCCACTCGCAATCTGGCGGGAATCAGGTATCCCGACCTTTGGTGGCTTTTGACGTGGACCGGCAGCCTATCGGCGTCGCAGGGCGTACGTCATCTCCGAACAGGCTAAACCGCCCGACTTCGTGCTGGAGGTCGCCTCACCAGCACCGGCCGCATCGACGCCACCGATAAACGGAACGACATACGCTGCGTTGGGCATCCCGAATACTGGCGGTTTCGACGAAACGGGTCGATCTACACGGAGCGCGGCTGGCGGCGACCGGATGATGGATGGACAGTATCAATCGTTAGAAATTGAAGAGTTGGCGCATGACGTGTTTGCAAGGATACAGCGCGGCCCTGAACCTGAATATCCGATGGGAACGCGGTCAGTTGCAGTGGTTTGACCCGGCTACCGGGCAGCGTGTCCTAACCTATGACGTACCAGCGGGAGCGTGCCAACCGCGAACGCGAGGCGCGTCTGCGCGCGACGCGTCCGAATTCGCGAACTGGAAGAACAACTGCGGCGCCTCGCTTCCTGAACGCTTGGCGCCGCGCTTGCTATAGCCGGCGGCCCGGCCGGTGCAACCTACCAGTGCTGGGTCAAGTTGGTGACCAGGTTGTCAACCAAACCGACCGTCGCCGTTGTGAGAGCGTCTGGGCATGGCGGCTGGGTGTGGTCACCGGAGCGACCATCCGTGCTGACCCGCTTGGTGAGCGTTATCGCAGTCCTGTGCCCGCAGCATTTGCAGCTACCATCCGACCGGATGCCAACCGGGAGTCACCAACTCGTGTAGCTCGGTCAACACCGCGGCGTTTTCGTCAGGTGAACTCGTCGACCAGGTAACGTGCTCGCCGCTGACGCCGCTGACCGCCTGCGGCGTCCACCAGGAAGCGGATGCAATCGGCGTCGGTGTCCACATTGGGGAGAGTTGCGGCCAACCTCTAGGCGAAAGAGCCCGACCAACCCGCCCCCCCCACCCCGCCCCCCCCCCCCGCCCCCCCCCCCCCCCCCCCCCCCCCCTTATCCGCCCCAGTCTGGAGCAGGTGCTGGAATGACCAGTGATCGCAACCCACCGCGGCGGGCTGTCGGGCAGCTGAGTCGCTCGCGGCAACGACGTCGCGCTAAAAAATCAGTTCCCCATTGCCGATTTCGTTTCTCGGCCGTCGCGCGATCCAATTGACGCAATCCCAGTCCGAAAAGCCTGTCGACGCGAGCGCGTTCATAATCAATGCGGATGAGATGTCGCGAGGATGTGCCCGCATGTTCACAGGGTTATGCTGCCAGCGGCGTCGCGCGAGCCAGCGCTCAGTGAGACATCACTCATACAAGCGCGGCCCGACTCTGCGTCGACGATTGCGGCAGCTGCGAGACGCATCGTGCTTGGCGGCGTCATCGGAATGGCGGAGGAAATCACAACGCGCGAGGCAGTCGCCGGCGTGCTGCTCACAACCAGGCTTGCGCATCATCCGCCACCGGCCGTCCGCCACGTAGACATCACCGGGTGCCGCCAGATCGCGAGACGGCATGTGCCGATGGCAACCGCGGGCGAAGCTCCGTCGGTTTCGCGGCGCATCGCTCATCAGGATGTAGAATCGCGAGTGGTGATGACCACCGGGCCCGGATGCCCGAGGATTATAACGTGCGGCCTGGGCGCAGAAGAAAGTCGCCTGGGACGTGGGCCGGAGCGCGCCGATCCCCGCCGGTCGTGGTCGAGGACGATGTCTTCATAGTTCGTGTCATGGTTCCCCGCTATCAGATGACTGCGTAATCGGGAATCGCGCCGATCGGTGATGAACATCTTGCCCGGGGCGTGGGTGATCATCAGGGGCGGCTTGCAGTTGAGAGCGACGGCCTGCGGGGTGACCCCGCACGCCCAGAACACCGGGGTTTCGCCGGGGCGTATCTCCACGGCCTCGCCGAACTCCGGGGCGTTGATGTCGCGGATGCCGATGGCGTCAGGGTCGCCGATGTGTATCGGGGCGCCGTGGGTGTCCGGGAAACGGGAGGTCACCTGCACCGCCCGGACGATTTGCGCCTGCGGTATCGGGCGCATGCTGACCACCATGGGGCCGGAGAACATGCCCGCCGGTCGGGTGGGGATGTTGGTGATGTACATCGGTACATTGCTACGGGCTTCCTGGTGGCGCAGGGGTATGCCGCAGTCGGCCAGCGCCGCTTCGAAGGAGAAGCTGCAACCGAGCAGGAACGACACCAGGTCGTCCCGCCACACCTCGGCCACCGATTCCAGTTCGGCGACCATCTCGCCGTTCTCGTAGATGCGGTAGGCGGGCACGTCGGTGCTGATGTCCGCGCCCGGCGCGGTGAACGTGGGCTCAACGAAGCCGGGCTCGATGACTTCCAGCAGCGGGCACGGTTGGGGGTTTCGCTGGCAGAAGAGCAGGAAGTCGAAAGCGAGGTCGCGGGGCAGGACGGCGAGGTTCGCCTGCACGTGCCCGTTGGCGAGGCCCGAGGTCACGCCGGCGAACTCGCCGGCCCGGATAATCCGGCGCAGTTCGGCGGGCTGGGTGGGAAGCATCGTGGCGGTGGTCATGGTCGGTCTCCAGTGGGGACGGCGGCATTGGGTGGTCGGATCGTATGCTAGAATTGCGCCGTTCGTTCGCAATGATAGATCGTTCGTGACGATAGACAGGCGCAATGATAGACAGGTGACCGGCCAGCGTCAATTTCGCGCTGGGCCGGCGGCGAACCCATCCAGTAAGCAGGAATCCGGCTTGTACAACGTATTTTTGCTCACCCGGCCGGGCGATGCAATGACAACCCTCAGTGGCCAAATCGACCTCTCCGGGCTGTCGTACCGGGCGGGGAGCGACGTGATGGAACTGGAGGATGTGGCGCAAACCGACCGGCTGGACGTGGTGTTGCTCGACCTGTCGGCGGTTGGGATCGGCGCGCAATCGGTCATCGAGCGGGTGAGCCAGTTGCATTTGCCGACCCTGTTGGTCATGGATGTGACGGCGATCGGCCAGTACGACCCGGCGATCAACCCCGACGACTTCATCGTGGCTCCCCTGGATTCCGCCGAACTCGTGGCACGGGTCGGCCAGATTGTGTACCGGCGCGATGGACGCGGCGGGGAGCAGCGGATCCGGGTGGGGGAACTGACCATCGACCTGCAGAGCTACGAGGTAGCGATGGCCGGGCGGCGGATTTCGCTGACCTACAAGGAGTTTCAGCTGCTCACCCTGTTGGCGTCCAACCCGGGCCGCGTGTACACGCGGGAGGCGTTGCTGAACCAGATCTGGGGATACGACTACCTGGGCGGAACGCGCACGGTGGACGTGCATATCCGGCGGCTGCGCTCCAAGGTGGAGGACCCGGACCACCTGTTCGTGGAAACCATCTGGAACGTCGGATACCGTTTCCGCGACATCGCCTCCCAGGGCTGACGGGCATTTTTGCGAGGATGGCCGGCGGGGGTTGTCGGCCGCCCGGACCGATCAGTCGCTGATGTTGTCCTGAACCCGGGCCAGGAAGCGGTCCCGTTCGGCGACGATGCCAGCGTGCTTCGGGTCAGTCAGTTCCGGGTCGGCATCGAGAATTGCCGCGGCTTCCTGGCGGGCCAACGCCATCAGGTCCTGATCGAACACGCTCGCGATGCGGAGCATGGTCTGGTCACCGCTCTGGGTGGTGCCGAAAATATCCCCTTCGTGGCGCATCTGGAGGTCGATCTCTGCCAGCTTGAACCCGTCCCCGCTGGCTTCGAGAGCCGAAAGACGTTCCCGCGCCCTTTCCGACTCTGCTTCGGACATCAGCAGGCAATAGCTGCGGTGTTCGCCGCGCCCCACGCGGCCGCGAAACTGGTGCAGCTGGGCCAGTCCGAAGCGGTCCGCGCCGTCGATCATCATCACCGTGGCGTTGGGCACGTCGATGCCAACCTCGACCACGGCGGTGGCCACCAGCACGTTCAGGTCGCCGTCGCGGAACTGGCGCATCACCTGGTCTTTTTGGCGGGACGACAGACGCCCGTGGAGCAGTCCGAGATTGAGGTCGGGGAAGACCTCGTTTGACAGCCGTTGGTGCTCTTCCGTGGCGGCGCGCACGTCCAGGTTTTCCGACTCTTCCACCAGCGGGCAGATGATGAACGCCTGCCGCCCGGCTTCCACCTGCTGGCGGATGAAACGATACGCCGCTTGGCGTTTGTCTTCCGGGACCAGCCTGGTGAGAATGTCCTGCCGTCCCGGGGGAAGCTCATCGATGGTCGAAACGTCCAGGTCGCCGTAGAGCGTGAGCTGCAGCGTCCGGGGTATCGGCGTGGCCGACATCATGAGGGCATGGGGTTGCTCCGGGCCGGCGCCCCGTAGCGCGGTGCGCTGGGCGACGCCAAAGCGGTGCTGTTCGTCGGTGATGGCCAGCGCCAGGTTGGGAAGCTCCACCCCGTCCTGTATCAGGGCGTGGGTGCCCACCAGGAGGTCCAGATGACCCTCCGACGCCAGCCGCAACACCTCCCGTCGCGGCGCGGCTCGGGTACTGCCGGTCAGCAGGCCTACAGTGAAAGGACGCCGCAGGCTGGGAAGGTAGGCCGAGAAAACGTTGGGTTGTTGCAGGGGCTGCTCGAACGTGCCCAGCAGCCGTCCCACGGTAACGAAGTGCTGCTCGGCCAGCACCTCGGTGGGAGCCATCAGGGCCGACTGACGGTGGTCTGATGCGGCGGCCAGTATCGCCGTCAACGCGACCAGGGTTTTGCCGCTGCCGACTTCGCCCTGCAGCAAACGGCTCATCGGCGGCGTGCCCCGGGCCATGTCGGACAGAGCTTCACCGATGCAACGCACCTGCGCTTTGGTGGGAGTGAAGGGCAGTTCGGACAGGAACCCGTCAACCGCGGCGCCGCTGTATTGCACCGCAGTCCCGGCTACGTCGCGTTCGCGGTGCCGGCGCCGGCCCAGAATTGCCATCTGGAACGCCATGATTTCATCAAAGGCGAGGCGACGGCGGGCCTGATCAGCGCCGGCCGTATCCGGCGGATAGTGCGCGTCGCCAATTGCCTGACCCAATCCGATCAGCCGGGTCCGCGCCAGCGTATCTCTTGGCATCGGTTCCGCGATGCCGCCGAGGAACTGCTCCAGGGCGCGCCAGGTGAGGCTCCGCAGATTGCGCGCTGTCATGCCCCCGGGTCAGGCGATACACCGGGGTCATGCGTCCGGCGTTCAGGGGAGGCGAGGCTTCGGTGACCACGTCGTATTCGGGAGATTGGACGGTGAGCCTGCCACGATTGAGTTCCGCCTTGCCGTGCACGACCATCGTGCTGCCGGCCTGGAGGCTGCGGGCAAGAAACGCCTGCCCGAACCACTGCAGGTCGATGGCGCCGGTGTTGTCCCGCAATGTCCCCTCCACCAACTGCAACCTGCGCTGGCCGACATTGGTAGAGCGGATATTGACCAACTCGCCTTCCAATGTGAAGGTCCCGCCGGCGTAGATGTCGGCGATGCTCGTGATGTCAGCCCGGTCGTCGTATCGGCGCGGAAGCATGTAGAGGAGGTCCCGCACCGTGCCGGCTCCCATCGACTCCAACCGCTGCACGGTTTTGGCGTCCATGCGTCGTACCGCCGAAACCGGGTCGTCCGGGTCTCCCGGGTTGGCGGCTGGAACCGGCGAGACGTGCCGGTGCCGGCGCACCGGAACGCGCCCCGAGGCGTCGCCGGGGGCGAAGAGCAGGGTTGCCGGCGCGGGGTCGACGTCCGGTGGTTCCACGGCTGCTGCCCGTGTCTCCTGGACATGAGGGCTCGGTGGCGAGGACGGCTCAACCGCGCCTCCCAAGGCGCTGCGCCACGCCGCAACCCACTCCCGCCGTCCCTCCGGCGGCAGGTTGCGGTAGGGCGCGGATATCAGCCGCTCCACGCGAGCCGGGTCGTCGCCCAAGCAACCGCGCAGCTCGGTATCCCAGCGTTCGATGAAGCGACGAATGCCGCCGCTCACGGCATTGTCCCCGAAATCCTTGTGCTCCTCGAGGGCAAGAATCTTCTCGAAGGCTTCGCGCCAGATGGGAGCCGCCTCGCGGCGGTCAGCGTCCATTGACTTGGCTCCGATACGGCGCCCGTCAGTGCCGGAAGAGTCGTGGGTCCGTCAGTCGTGTTTCTGTCAAGGCAGCGTGGACACCGCCACCGCGCCCGGACCGACGTGGGTTCCGATGGCGGAACCGATCTGCAGCGTGTAGGTGTTTGCGGAATCCGCCAGGTCGGAGAGGCGATTGCGCATTTCCTCCGCCGGACCGGCGTCCGTGGTGTAGGCCACAGCCAGCTTGGACACCGGGCCCTGTTCGCGCACCAATTCCTCCAGACGCTGCAAACCCCGACGCACGTTGCGCGGCCGGTCGACGGGCAGCACCTCGCCGTCCGCCACCTTGAGGATGGGTTTCACCTTGAGCAGCGAACCCATGAAGGCCTGGGCTTTACCGATGCGGCCGCCTTTTTGCAGGTATTCCAGCGTGTCCACCATGGCAAACCCGTAGCCCTTGCCGGCCCGGGATCCGGCAGCCGACACGACTGACTCCAGCGTCGCGTCCTCTGCGACGGCGTCCTCGGCGGCGGCGATAACCTGGAGCATGTGCCCGACCGAGGCGGTGCCGCAGTCAATCACGGTCACCGCGCCGTCGTCGAACTGCGAGGCGGCCTGTGAAGCGGAATTGTAAGTGCCGCTGAGCTGACGCGCCACGGTGATGCACACCACCTGGTCGCCGGCCGAAACCAACGGTTCCATCACTCCGGTGAAGTCTCCGGGAGTCGGTTGGGATGTGCTGGGCAGCTGAGGTGAGGACTGGAGCCGGGCATAAAACTGGGTGGGATGATGTCGATGCCCTGTCGGTATGACTCCTCGCCGAAAAGGACGTATGCGGGGATCACCGATATTCCGAAGCGGTCAACGGTTTCCCTGGCGATGTCACAGGTGCTGTCAGTTATAACTTTGATGGCCATGCGAGGCACTCCTTCGATGGATCACGACTGGAAAGAGTTATTCGACCGACACCAGGTACGGGTAATGGGGTTGTGCGCCTTCGTACACGTCCACCTCTGCCCCATCGTAGGATTCCTCCAGTTCCCCCTGCAAAGCGACGGCCGCCTCGGCCGAAGCTCCTTCGCCCCAATACAGGGTGATCACGCTGTTTTCGTCGGCGGCGGGGCTGCAACCCTTCCCGCACGGCGGCAATCAGGGGTGGCGGTGAGGGCGGCCAGTTTCCCGTCGAGGATCGCCATGTATTCGCCTTCCGAACCTCTCGGCCGTCAACCACGAGTCCCGAACTGCCTGAGTAACTTCCAGGGTTTCCACGGCGCCGCGCGCGGATTCCATGTTGGCCAGGTTGTCGTCCACCGAAACTTCGGGATTGAACCCCAGCAGCGCCCCGGTTCCCTGCGGCATGGTGCGCGTGGCCAGCACGTGCAGCCTGATCTCGCCAGTATCGGCCTCCGCGGCCTGATTGGCGGTCAAAATGACGTTGTGATTATTGGGGAAGCACGATCACGTCCGTGTGCCGGCGGACATGGCGGCGTCAATGATCTCGCTGGCGCTGGGATTGAGCGTCTGCCGCCGGGGAATGATGGCGGCGCACCCCGCGTCCTGGAACAGATCTGCGAGCCCCCGGCCGACGCGACGCGATCACCGGAACGCCGGAGTCGGATTTCGGCGGGCCGCGCTCGCTCGCGAGCCCGGCCGCCCAGTCCGGTTCTGTAGGCTCATGTTGTCGATTTTCAGCTCATCCAGTTCACACGAAAACCGACACCGTAGGTCAGCGCCGACCGGGATCGGCGGTGTGAATTTGTGAAGTGGATCCGAACCGCCTGTCCGCCGCCAACCGATGACCGTGGAATCGGCAATGCCGGCAAATCCGCTTCGCAACTCATCGACGTGGAGCTCTTGGCCGTGGATCACGAACTGGTGCAGTAGACGAAATTCTCGCCTCGTGGCGTCCAGAGAGTCGGAGTCGATGGCAACGGCTCGTCTCTGTTGGCGGGTATGAGTGACGCCGCGACAGAGCTGCGCAATCCCAGGTGTCAGCGGCGGGGCCGTCTCTCCAGCACCTGCTCGGAGAGACGGGCCCCGCCGCTGACCTGGGATTGCGCAGCGTCGGCGGCGTCATCAACCCGCACCAGACCGAGTCCGTTGCCATCGACTCCGACTTCCTGGACGCCCACGAGGCGGAGGAATTCGGCTACTGCACCCAGTTCGTGATCCACGGCCAAGAGCTCAACGTCGATGAGTTGCGAAGCGGATTTGCCGGCATTGCCGATTCCACGGTCATCGTTGGCGGCGGACAGGCGGTTCGGATCCACGTTCACACCGCCGATCCCGGTTCGGCGCTGACCTACGGTGTCGGTTTCGGTGAACTGGATGAGCTGAAAATCGACAACATGAGCCTACAGAACCGGGACTGGGCGGCCGGGCATCGCGAGCGAGCGCGGCCCGCCGAAATCCGCTCCGGCGTTTCGGTGATCGCGGTCGCGTCAGGCCGGGGGCTCGCAGATCTGTTCCAGGACGCGGGGTGCGCCGCCATCATCCCCGGCGGGCAGACGCTCAATCCCAGCGCCAGCGAGATCATTGACGCCGCCATGTCCGCCGGCACCACGGACGTGATCGTGCTTCCCAATAATCACAACGTCATTTTGACCGCCAATCAGGCCGCGGAGGCCGATACTGGCGAGATCAGGCTGCACGTGCTGGCCACGCGCACCATGCCGCAGGGAACCGGGGCGCTGCTGGGGTTCAATCCCGAAGTTTCGGTGGACGACAACCTGGCCAACATGGAATCCGCGCGCGGCGCCGTGGAAACCCTGGAAGTTACTCAGGCAGTTCGGGACTCGGTGGTTGACGGCCGAGAGGTTCGGGAAGGCGAATACATGGCGATCCTCGACGGGAAACTGGCCGCCCTCACCGCCACCCCTGATGCCGCCGTGCGGGAAGGGTTGCAGCACTCCGCCGCCGACGAAAACAGCGTGATCACCTGTATTGGGGCGAAGGAGCTTCGGCCGAGGCGGCCGTCGCTTTGCAGGGGGAACTGGAGGAATCCTACGATGGGGCAGAGGTGGACGTGTACGAAGGCGCACAACCCCATTACCCGTACCTGGTGTCGGTCGAATAACTCTTTCCAGTCGTGATCCATCGAAGGAGTGCCTCGCATGGCCATCAAAGTTATAACTGACAGCACCTGTGACATCGCCAGGGAAACCGTTGACCGCTTCGGAATATCGGTGATCCCCGCATACGTCCTTTTCGGCGAGGAGTCATACCGACAGGGCATCGACATCAATCCCACCGAGTTTTATGCCCGGCTCCAGTCCTCACCTCAGCTGCCCAGCACATCCCAACCGACTCCCGGAGACTTCACCGGAGTGATGGAACCGTTGGTTTCGGGCCGGCGACCAGGTGGTGTGCATCACCGTGGCGCGTCAGCTCAGCGGCACTTACAATTCCGCTTCACAGGCCGCCTCGCAGTTCGACGACGGCGCGGTGACCGTGATTGACTGCGGCACCGCCTCGGTCGGGCACATGCTCCAGGTTATCGCCGCCGCCGAGGACGCCGTCGCAGAGGACGCGACGCTGGAGTCAGTCGTGTCGGCTGCCGGATCCCGGGCCGGCAAGGGCTACGGGTTTGCCATGGTGGACACGCTGGAATACCTGCAAAAAGGCGGCCGCATCGGTAAAGCCCAGGCCTTCATGGGTTCGCTGCTCAAGGTGAAACCCATCCTCAAGGTGGCGGACGGCGAGGTGCTGCCCGTCGACCGGCCGCGCAACGTGCGTCGGGGTTTGCAGCGTCTGGAGGAATTGGTGCGCGAACAGGGCCCGGTGTCCAAGCTGGCTGTGGCCTACACCACGGACGCCGGTCCGGCGGAGGAAATGCGCAATCGCCTCTCCGACCTGGCGGATTCCGCAAACACCTACACGCTGCAGATCGGTTCCGCCATCGGAACCCACGTCGGTCCGGGCGCGGTGGCGGTGTCCACGCTGCCTTGACAGAAACACGACTGACGGACCCACGACTCTTCCGGCACTGACGGGCGCCGTATCGGAGCCAAGTCAATGGACGCTGACCGCCGCGAGGCGGCTCCCATCTGGCGCGAAGCCTTCGAGAAGATTCTTGCCCTCGAGGAGCACAAGGATTTCGGGGACAATGCCGTGAGCGGCGGCATTCGTCGCTTCATCGAACGCTGGGATACCGAGCTGCGCGGTTGCTTGGGCGACGACCCGGCTCGCGTGGAGCGGCTGATATCCGCGCCCTACCGCAACCTGCCGCCGGAGGGACGGCGGGAGTGGGTTGCGGCGTGGCGCAGCGCCTTGGGAGGCGCGGTTGAGCCGTCCTCGCCACCCGAGCCCTCATGTCCAGGAGACACGGGCAGCAGCCGTGGAACCACCGGACGTCGACCCCGCGCCGGCAACCCTGCTCTTCGCCCCCGGCGACGCCTCGGGGCGCGTTCCGGTGCGCCGGCGCCGGCACGTCGCGCCGGTTCCGGTCGCTAAACCGGAAGACCCGGACGATCCGGTTTCGGCGGTACGACGCATGGACGCCAAAACCGTGCAGCGGTTGGAGTCGATGGGAGCCGGCACGGTGCGGGACCTCCTCTACATGCTTCCGCGCCGATACGACGACCGGGCTGACATCACGAGCATCGCCGACATCTACGCCGGCGGGACCTTCACATTGGAAGGCGAGTTGGTCAATATCCGCTCTACCAATGTCGGCCAGCGCAGGTTGCAGTTGGTGGAGGGGACATTGCGGGACAACACCGGCGCCATCGACCTGCAGTGGTTCGGGCAGGCGTTTCTTGCCCGCAGCCTCCAGGCCGGCAGCACGATGGTCGTGCACGGCAAGGCGGAACTCAATCGTGGCAGGCTCACCGTCCAATCTCCCGAATACGACGTGGTCACCGAAGCTCGCCTCCCCTGAACGCCGGACGCATGACCCCGGTGTATCGCCTGACCCGGGGCATGACAGCGCGCAATCTGCGGAGCCTCACCTGGCGCGCCCTGGAGCAGTTCCTCGGCGGCATCGCGGAACCGATGCCAAGAGATACGCTGGCGCGGACCCGGCTGATCGGATTGGGTCAGGCAATTGGCGACGCGCACTATCCGCCGGATACGGCCGGCGCTGATCAGGCCCGCCGTCGCCTCGCCTTTGATGAAATCATGGCGTTCCAGATGGCAATTCTGGGCCGGCGCCGGCACCGCGAACGCGACGTAGCCGGGACTGCGGTGCAATACAGCGGCGCCGCGGTTGACGGGTTCCTGTCCGAACTGCCCTTCACTCCCACCAAAGCGCAGGTGCGTTGCATCGGTGAAGCTCTGTCCGACATGGCCCGGGGCACGCCGCCGATGAGCCGTTTGCTGCAGGGCGAAGTCGGCAGCGGCAAAACCCTGGTCGCGTTGACGGCGATACTGGCCGCCGCATCAGACCACCGTCAGTCGGCCCTGATGGCTCCCACCGAGGTGCTGGCCGAGCAGCACTTCGTTACCGTGGGACGGCTGCTGGGCACGTTCGAGCAGCCCCTGCAACAACCCAACGTTTTCTCGGCCTACCTTCCCAGCCTGCGGCGTCCTTTCACTGTAGGCCTGCTGACCGGCAGTACCCGAGCCGCGCCGCGACGGGAGGTGTTGCGGCTGGCGTCGGAGGGTCATCTGGACCTCCTGGTGGGCACCCACGCCCTGATACAGGACGGGGTGGAGCTTCCCAACCTGGCGCTGGCCATCACCGACGAACAGCACCGCTTTGGCGTCGCCCAGCGCACCGCGCTACGGGGCGCCGGCCCGGAGCAACCCCATGCCCTCATGATGTCGGCCACGCCGATACCCCGGACGCTGCAGCTCACGCTCTACGGCGACCTGGACGTTTCGACCATCGATGAGCTTCCCCCGGGACGGCAGGACATTCTCACCAGGCTGGTCCCGGAAGACAAACGCCAAGCGGCGTATCGTTTCATCCGCCAGCAGGTGGAAGCCGGGCGGCAGGCGTTCATCATCTGCCCGCTGGTGGAAGAGTCGGAAAACCTGGACGTGCGCGCCGCCACGGAAGAGCACCAACGGCTGTCAAACGAGGTCTTCCCCGACCTCAATCTCGGACTGCTCCACGGGCGTCTGTCGTCCCGCCAAAAAGACCAGGTGATGCGCCAGTTCCGCGACGGCGACCTGAACGTGCTGGTGGCCACCGCCGTGGTCGAGGTTGGCATCGACGTGCCCAACGCCACGGTGATGATGATCGACGGCGCGGACCGCTTCGGACTGGCCCAGCTGCACCAGTTTCGCGGCCGCGTGGGGCGCGGCGAACACCGCAGCTATTGCCTGCTGATGTCCGAAGCAGAGTCGGAAAGGGCGCGGGAACGTCTTTCGGCTCTCGAAGCCAGCGGGGACGGGTTCAAGCTGGCAGAGATCGACCTCCAGATGCGCCACGAAGGGGATATTTTCGGCACCACCCAGAGCGGTGACCAGACCATGCTCCGCATCGCGAGCGTGTTCGATCAGGACCTGATGGCGTTGGCCCGCCAGGAAGCCGCGGCAATTCTCGATGCCGACCCGGAACTGACTGACCCGAAGCACGCTGGCATCGTCGCCGAACGGGACCGCTTCCTGGCCCGGGTTCAGGACAACATCAGCGACTGATCGGTCCGGGCGGCCGACAACCCCCGCCGGCCATCCTCGCAAAAATGCCCGTCAGCCCTGGGAGGCGATGTCGCGGAAACGGTATCCGACGTTCCAGATGGTTTCCACGAACAGGTGGTCCGGGTCCTCCACCTTGGAGCGCAGCCGCCGGATATGCACGTCCACCGTGCGCGTTCCGCCCAGGTAGTCGTATCCCCAGATCTGGTTCAGCAACGCCTCCCGCGTGTACACGCGGCCCGGGTTGGACGCCAACAGGGTGAGCAGCTGAAACTCCTTGTAGGTCAGCGAAATCCGCCGCCCGGCCATCGCTACCTCGTAGCTCTGCAGGTCGATGGTCAGTTCCCCCACCCGGATCCGCTGCTCCCCGCCGCGTCCATCGCGCCGGTACACAATCTGGCCGACCCGTGCCACGAGTTCGGCGGAATCCAGGGGAGCCACGATGAAGTCGTCGGGGTTGATCGCCGGGTCGTACTGGCCGATCGCCGTCACATCCATGACCAACAGGGTCGGCAAATGCAACTGGCTCACCCGCTCGATGACCGATTGCGCGCCGATCCCAACCGCCGACAGGTCGAGCAACACCACGTCCAGCCGGTCGGTTTGCGCCACATCCTCCAGTTCCATCACGTCGCTCCCCGCCCGGTACGACAGCCCGGAGAGGTCGATTTGGCCACTGAGGGTTGTCATTGCATCGCCCGGCCGGGTGAGCAAAAATACGTTGTACAAGCCGGATTCCTGCTTACTGGATGGGTTCGCCGCCGGCCCAGGCGCGAAATTGACGCTGGCCGGTCACCTGTCTATCATTGCGCCTGTCTATCGTCACGAACGATCTATCATTGCGAACGAACGGCGCAATTCTAGCATACGATCCGACCACCCAATGCCGCCGTCCCCACTGGAGACCGACCATGACCACCGCCACGATGCTTCCCACCCAGCCCGCCGAACTGCGCCGGATTATCCGGGCCGGCGAGTTCGCCGGCGTGACCTCGGGCCTCGCCAACGGGCACGTGCAGGCGAACCTCGCCGTCCTGCCCCGCGACCTCGCTTTCGACTTCCTGCTCTTCTGCCAGCGAAACCCCCAACCGTGCCCGCTGCTGGAAGTCATCGAGCCCGGCTTCGTTGAGCCCACGTTCACCGCGCCGGGCGCGGACATCAGCACCGACGTGCCCGCCTACCGCATCTACGAGAACGGCGAGATGGTCGCCGAACTGGAATCGGTGGCCGAGGTGTGGCGGGACGACCTGGTGTCGTTCCTGCTCGGTTGCAGCTTCTCCTTCGAAGCCGCGCTGGCCGACTGCGGCATACCCCTGCGCCACCAGGAAGCCCGTAGCAATGTACCGATGTACATCACCAACATCCCCACCCGACCGGCGGGCATGTTCTCCGGCCCCATGGTGGTCAGCATGCGCCCGATACCGCAGGCGCAAATCGTCCGGGCGGTGCAGGTGACCTCCCGTTTCCCGGACACCCACGGCGCCCCGATACACATCGGCGACCCTGACGCCATCGGCATCCGCGACATCAACGCCCCGGAGTTCGGCGAGGCCGTGGAGATACGCCCCGGCGAAACCCCGGTGTTCTGGGCGTGCGGGGTCACCCCGCAGGCCGTCGCTCTCAACTGCAAGCCGCCCCTGATGATCACCCACGCCCCGGGCAAGATGTTCATCACCGATCGGCGCGATTCCGATTACGCAGTCATCTGATAGCGGGGAAGCATGACACGAACTATTGAAGACATCGTCCTCGACCACGACCGGCGGGGGATCGGCGCGCTCCGGCCCCACGTCCCAGGCGACTTCTGCGCCCAGGCCGCACGTTATATCCTCGGGCATCCGGGCCCGGTGGTCATCACCACCGGATTCTACATCCTGATGAGCGATGCGCCGGAAACCGACGGGCCGCCCGGCGCGTTTGCCATCGGCAATGCCGTTCGCGATCTGGGCCACCCGGTGATCTACGTGGCGGACCGGCCGGTGGCCGGGATGATGGCATCCTGGTTGGGCCACGCCGGCGACTCCTCGCGCGTTGTGGATTTCCCCATTTCCGATGACGCCCCAAGCAACGATGCCTCCGCTGCCGCAATCGTCGACGAGTTCGGGCCCGCGTTGATGGTCTCAATTGAGCGCTGCTCGCCGGACGCCGCTGGCATCTATCGGAACATGCGCTCCCGCGACATCTCTCCGCAGACCGCTCGCGTCGACAGGCTTTTCGGCCTGGGATTGCCGTCAATTGGGATCGGCGACGGCGGAAACGAAATCGGCATGGGGAACTTGGCCGACGTCGTTGCCGGAGCCGACCAGCTGCCCGACCAGCCCGCCGCGGTGGGTTGCGATCACCTGGTCATCTCCAGCACCTCCAACTGGGGCGGATACGGGTTGGTCGCGGCTCTTTCGCTAGAGGTTGGCCGCAACCTGCTCCCCAATGTGGACACCGACGCCGATTGCATCCGCTTCCTGGTGGACGCCGGGGCGGTCAGCGGCGTCAGCGGCGAGCACGATTACCTGGTCGACGAGTTCACCCTGGACGAAAACGCCGCGGTGTTGACCGAGCTACACGAGTTGGTGGACTCCCGGTTGGCATCCGGGTCGGATGGGTAGCTGCAAATGCTGCGGGCACAGGGACTGCGATAACGCTCACCAAGCGGGTCAGCAACGGATGGTCGCTCCGGTGACCAACACCCAAGCCGCCATGCCCCAGACGCTCCACAACGGCGACGGTCGGTTTGTCGACAACCTGGTCACCAACTTGGCCCAGCACTGGTAGGTTGCACCGGCCCGGGCCGCCGGCTATAGCAAGCGCGGCGCCAAGCGTTCAGGAACCGAGGCGCCGCAGTTGTTCTTCCAGTTCGCGAATTCGGGCGTCCGCGCGCAGACGCGCCTCGCGTTCGCGGTTGGCACGCTCCCGCTGGTCGTCATAGGTTAGGACACGCTGCCCGGTAGCCGGGTCAAACCACTGCAACTGACCGCGTTCCCATCGGATATTCAGGTTCAGGGCCGCGCTGTATCCTTGCAACACGTCATGCGCCAACTCTTCAATTTCTACCGATTGATACTGTCCATCCATCAGCCGGTCGCCGGCCAGCCGCGCTCCGTGAGATCGACCCGTTTCGTCGAACCGCCAGTATTCGGGGATGCCCAACGCGGCGTAGTCGTTCCGTTTATCGGTGGCGTCGATGCGGCCGGTGCTGGGTGAGGCGACCTCCAGCACGAAGTCGGGCGGTTTAGCCTGTTCGGAGATGACGTACGCCCTGCGACGCCGATAGGCTGCCGGGTCCACGTCAAAAGCCACCAAAAGGTCGGGATACCTGATTCCCGCCAGATTGCGAGTGGGCGCAACCGCCAGGTAACGCGCTCCAGCCACCAGGATGGTTTCAGGACTGCCCAAATGCTGGATCAGGTGATGGACGTTACCCGTGGAGGCCAAGTGATCGAAGTTGGTCGTCTTGTCTTCGGGAATTTCCGGCGGATCGGGAAACACAAAGAATTCCTGCGTTTCAGCAGCGCCAGAGACCCTGTTACTGGCGGTGGTCATGCCGGACCTCCGTGGCGAAACTCGGATGGATGGCTCGTTATGATAACAGTCCAATGCTTTGTCGCAGCCGACCTCGAGCATCCATCGCAAAATTGGGGAGATGTGCGACGCCCAAGCCGCCAAACCCCCAGACGTTCCGCACCGGTGACGGGTGGTTCATCCACAACCTGGTGACCAATCTGGCCCAGCGCTGATAGGCAGCGGACCTACCCGATTGCCAGCATCTTCTCCTCGGTGAGGATGATCTTCTTCAACTCCAGCATCTCGTCGCGCAGGTGCGCCGCCTTCTCGAACTCCAGGGAACGGGCGGCCGTTTTCATCTGGAACTCCAGGTCCTTGATCACCCGGTACATGTCGTCGTGCGACATCTCCTCCCGGGCCACCTGGTAGGAGGCCTTGGTCTCGGCGACTCCGCGCAGGCCCTCGGTGATGTCCCGGACGGCCTTGTGGATCGACTGCGGCTCGATGCCGTGGCGCTCGTTGTGCGCACCCTGGATCGCACGGCGCCGGTAGGTCTCGTCGATGGCTCTCTGCATCGAGTCGGTCACCCGGTCGGCGTACATGATGACGTGCCCGGAAGCGTGTCGGGCGGCGCGACCGACGGTCTGGATCAACGAAGTGGTTGACCGCAGGTACCCTTCCTTGTCGGCGTCCAGGATCGCCACCAGGCTCACTTCCGGCAGGTCGAGGCCCTCCCGCAGGAGGTTGATGCCCACGATGACGTCGTAGATGCCCAGACGTAAATCGCGCAGTATCTCCACCCGGTTCAAGGTTTGGATATCCGAGTGCAGGTAGTGGTTGCGGATGCCGGCCTCCGACAGGTAGTCGGCCAGTTCCTCGGCCATGCGCTTGGTCAGCGTGGTCACCAGCACGCGCTCCTGGCTTTCCACCCGCTGGCGAATTTCGTGCAGCAGGTCGTCGATCTGCCCGTCGGTGGGCTTGACCTCTATGGTCGGGTCCAGCAGTGCCGTGGGGCGGATAACCTGCTCCACGATGGCGCTGGTGCGCTCCAGCTCCAGCGGGCCCGGGGTCGCGGAGACGTACACCACCTGGTTGATGTGGTCCTCGAACTCCTTGAAATGCAGTGGCCGGTTGTCCAGCGCCGACGGCAGGCGGAACCCGAACTCCACCAGCGTGGTCTTGCGGGAGATGTCCCCGTTGTACATCCCGCGCACTTGCGGCAGCGTCATGTGGGACTCGTCGACGAACATCAGGAAATCGTCGGGGAAGTAGTCCAACAGGGTCCACGGGGGGCTGCCGGCCTCGCGGCGGGACAGGTGACGCGCGTAGTTCTCGACGCCGGCGCAGAAGCCCGTTTCGTTCAGCATCTCCATGTCGTACCGGGTGCGCTGCTCCAGGCGTTGCGCCTCCAGCAACTTGCCCTGCTGCCGGAGCCAGTCGACCCGCTCTTTCATCTCGGCATCAATGTCGATGAGCGCGGCGTCCAGCTTCTCCCGGCTGGTCACGAAGTGCTTGGCCGGGTATACGGAAAACTCGCTGCGCTCGTTGAGCACCTCGCCGGTCAGCGTGTCCAGCGTCAGGATACGCTCGATCTCGTCGCCGAAGAACTGGATTCGGACCGCGAATTCCTCGTAGGCCGGGACGATCTCCAGCGTGTCCCCGCGCACGGTGAACCGGCCGCGCGCCAGGTCGGTGTCGTTGCGCTCGTACTGCATGTCGATCAACTGACGCAGCAGCGCCCGCCGGTTGTATTCCTCGCCCACTGCAACGTGCGCGACCATTTCGAAATAGTCCGACGGATCGCCCAGACCGTAGATGCACGACACCGAGGCCACGATCAGGGTATCCCGGCGCGTCAGCAACGAGGTTGTGGACGCGAGCCGGAGCTTGTCCAGCTCTTCGTTGACGCTGCTGTCCTTCTCGATGTAGGTGTCGGTGCGCGGTATGTACGCTTCCGGCTGGTAGTAATCGTAGTAGGAGACGAAGTATTCCACGGCGTTGTGCGGGAAGAATTCCTTGAACTCCGTCGCCAACTGGGCCGCCAGCGTCTTATTGTGCGCGATGACGATGGTGGGCTTCTGGACCTCCTGCACGATGTTCGCCATGGTGAAGGTCTTGCCACTGCCGGTGACGCCCAGCAGCGTCTGGTGATCCAGGCCCTCGCGAACGCCGGCAGACAGCTTTTGCACCGCCTGCTCCTGGTCGCCCATCACGCCGAAATCCGCTACCAGCTGAAAGTCAGGCATGGTTCCTCCGTTTCATCACTCCGTACATCCGGGCTTCATACATCCGGGCTCCGGGCATCCGGCGCCGGAAATAGCCCGTCGGTCCGATGGTGTTGCCGGAATTATAAGGCATCGCCCTACCCGCCTCCGATGGCCAGTAGCGCCTGCCGCACCTTGTCCTCAACCGCCGCGTCGGTCGGCAATTCCAGCCCGGCGACAGCCTGCCGCGCGTCGGCCAGCGTCATGCCCAGGGCGGTCAGCGCCTCAACGGCCTCGGCGTCGGTACCTCCGGCGGCCGCGATAACCGGCGATCCGGCATCCGCGTCGGGCAGTTTGCCCCGCAGTTCCAGGACCACCCGTTGCGCGATAAGCCGTCCCACCCCCTGGGCCCTGGACAACGCGGCCACATCCTCGGATGCCACGGCCTGCCGGAAACCGTCTTCTCCCAACTCCGACAGAATGGACATTGCCGAACGGGGGCCGATGCCGGAGACTCCCGTCAGCGCACCGAACAGCTCCACCGCTCCGGCGTCCACGAACCCATAGAGCATCGGCTGCTCGTTCTGGATGCGCAGGATGGTGTGCAGCCGGACCTGCTCGCCCACGCTGCCCAGACCCGCGACATCCGACGCCGGCACGGACACCTGCAAGGTGATGCCGCCGACCTGCACGTTGACCCAGTCAGAGCCGACGGCTTCCAGCGCGCCCCGCACGCCGACCAACACTGCCTAAAGTTCCTGGCCCGGCGCTATCTCGCGCGCGATCAGCTCGTCGGCTTGCATCCGCTGCAGATGGCACAGGCCCACTGCCAGAGCGTCCGCGGCATCCGATTCCGGCTGGTTCTCCAACCCCAGTCTCGAAGCGGCGATCTGCTGCACCTGTTCCTTGGTGGCCCGGCCGTAGTCCGCCACCGCCATCTTCACGTCGGCGGGCGAGTAGCGATGCACCGGGATTCCCTGGCTGGCCGCGCCGATTAGCACCACCGCCTGCGCCTGCCCGATGGCCAACGCCGATTTTGCAAACGCCCGCTCACCACGGCCCACGAACGGATCCTCGACCGCGATGGCATCGGGCTGGAATATGTGGATCATGTTGAGGATGTGCGTATGCAGTTGGTAAAGACGCTTCTCAATCGCCATCGAAGACGGCAGGGCAACCACACCGTAGTCGTCCGCCTCCGGGTCGGGATGAGCATCCAGGACGCCGTAACCCATGCGCAGCGTGCCGGGGTCAATGGCCAGAACGCGCATCAGGCGGCAGACCCGTAGCGCTCCAGCACTTCCTCCGGGAAGTCGGCGTTGGTATACGCCTTCTGTACGTCGGCCAACTCCTCCAGGCTGTCCAACAGCCTCAAAGTCTGCTCCGCCGCCCGGTCCTCCAGCGGGATCACTGTCTTGGGCACCATTGACACATCGGCGGACGAGGGCCGCGCCCCCTCTCCTTCCAGGGCGGATTTGACGGACAGCAGGTTCTCCGGGGACGTGTACACCTCCAGGATGCCGTCCTCGAAATTCACGTCCTCGGCCTCGGCGTCGATAGCGGTCAGGATCAACTCTTCCGCCACGGATTCGTCAGCCACCTCGAGGGTGATGACGCCCCGGCTGTCAAAGTTCCAAGCCACGCAGCCCGATTCGCCCAGGTTCCCGCCGCCCTTGTTGAACGCCGACCGCACTTCCGAGGCGGTCCGGTTGCGGTTGGTGGTCAGCGCCATTACCAGGATGGCGCCGCCGTTGGGACCATATCCCTCGTAGGTAACTTCAGCCAGGTCCTCCATGCCCTCGCCGCCCTCGCCGGTGGCTCGGCGGATGGCCCGGGTGATGCTTTCCAACGGCATATTGTTGGACCTCGCCTGGTCAACCGCGATCCGCAGGCGGAAGTTCATATCCGGATCGCCACCGCCGTCCTTGGCGGCCAGGGAGATATTGCGCGCCAACTTGGTGAACAGCGCGCCCCGCTTGGCGTCCGCGGCGCCCTTTGCCCTTTTAATTGTCGACCACTTCGAATGACCAGACATGTGACACCTCCTTGACGTACCCCACCCCATCTCGCTGCTACGGAGACTGGTGTCCCGGCGGATGCGCTGACGCGTCCTCAATTTCCTATAATGCGTGGTCGTTTGATTTTAGCATCGCCGCGTTTAACCGGTCAAAACCGCTCGTAAGCAATTTCCCACTCTTAAGCCACTTTTCACTGAGAAGCCACTTTCTAGCCAGAAGCCACTTTTCAATCTTAAGCCATTTCCCACATGTCAACGCCAGAACAGTCCACCCGACAGGCCGACGCCATGGGCAACGCGCCCATGTGGCGGCTCCTCCTGCAGATGGCCTTTCCGCCGATGCTCGCCATAATCGTGATGGCAATGTACAGCATCGTCGATCGCGCCTTCATCGGGAACGTGGTGGGCGTGGACGCGCTGAGCGGTCTGTCGGCCGCGTTCCCGGTGCAGATGGCCGCGGTCGCCATCGGCCTGCTAACCGGGCTGGGCGGAATGTCGGTGGTATCCCGCGCGCTGGGAGCCGGGGACTCGCGCCGGGCATCTCGTGTCATCGGTTCGTCTTTGGCCGTAATCCTGCCGGTTTACCTCCTGGCCACAGCGGCGGGCCTGTCCCAGCTGGACACGCTGGCCTACTGGATGGGCGCGTCAGCCCATACGATTGAGTACGCTGATCAGTACCTGGCGATCATCCTTCCGGGCAGCCTGTTCACCATGGTCGCCATGACTCTGAACAACCTGCTCATGGCCGAGGGACGGCCCGCGACCGCCACCGTGGTGTTGGCCGGCAGCGCCATCGTCAACGTCGCCCTGGACGCGGTGTTCATCCTCGTGTTCGACTGGGGCGTCACCGGAGCCGCCGCCGCCACGGTGCTGGCCCAATCGCTGGCCGTGCTCTACGGAGGCTGGTTTTATCTTTCGGGTCGCAGCGCATTGCGCATCTCCGCCGATGCCCTGCTGCCCCGTTTTCCGTTAATCCGAGAGATCCTGGCGTTGGGCGCGCCCATCTGCATCATAGAGATCGCGCGGTCCATCGTCGTCGTCGTCATCAACAACATCCTGAGACAGTACCCAGGCGGCGCCGCTTACATCGCCCTGTTCGGGGTCATCAACGCGGTGCTGGAGTTCGCGCTGGCCCCGTTCATCGGCGCGGCGTTGGCCTACCTGCCGTTGGCAGCCTACAACTACGGCGCCGGATACTACGACCGGGTCCGCCAGGCCATCTGGCAAAGTTGCCTGGGCGCGACGGTCGGCGGCGCAATCATGATCGCCGTCCTTTTGCCCCTGGCCGGGCATATCGTCACCCTCTTCTCGACCCGCGAAGCCCTGCCCGCAGAATCCGGCGCCGCGCTGCGTACTGTCCTGTTGGCCCTGCCCATTGTCGGCATCGAATTCATCAGCTCCATTGCGTTTCAGGCCCTGGGCCGGGCCTGGCCATCAGTGGTGCTGACCATGGCCCAGCGCGTTGTCCTGCTGCTGGCGTGGGTCTTCGGCCTGTCCCACGCATTCGGCGTCTGGGGCGTGTGGTGGTCGTTTCCGGCCACGGATTTGGGAGCGATGTTCCTCGGCCTGGGCGCGCTCATTCTCGTGTGGAAACGGGTGGACCAATGGGGGAGGCATGCCACGCGCCGCCGGTTTTGACATCCCCGAGTGGCGGCAGTAGCATTACGCTGAATTGCTGATAACTGCGTGCTCCACCCTCGCTCAGGAGGCCATCCCATGGCTATGATTTCCAGCGGCGTTTCCCATATCGCCGTGTGCGTCCGTGATCTGGACGAATCCCTCAAGTTCTACCGCGACATCCTGGGCATGACCGTGACCGTCGATCGTGTGCAGGACACATCCACCGGCGGTCTGCCTCACGTCTACGCCCACGACCGGTCCACTCGCCGGCAGGCCATCCTGTCCTACGGCGACGGGGCCGTTCCCACCCTCGTCATGACCAGCCACCCGGGCGACGATGCCGACGGCGGCGCGATCAAGCTGGACCAGGTGGGCATCAGCCACATCTCTTTCAGCGTGACCGACGTCAGGGCCCTGGCCGACGAGCTCATCGCCGCCGGCGTGGAACTCGCGGGCCGATGGACGGTTTCACCAATGCCAACGGCGAGGTGTCCAGCATCTTCGTTTACGACCCGGACGGCATCCTGGTGCAGTTCGACAGCGGCGGTGGCTGATTGCCCTCCGCTTGATTACGGGCCGGCTCTGCGGGCCTCCGCTCCGAACACGCCTGAACAGGAGTATCCATCATGCCCATGAACGCCTCGGGGGTGTCTCACATTGCCATCTGCGTACGGGACCTTGACGTCTCGTTGAAGTTCTACTGCGACGCGCTGGGGATGTCCATCGTCAGCGACGTCATCCAGGACACCACCACCGGCGGTCTGCCCCACGTCTACGCCCACAACCGGGCCACGCGTCGCCAGGTTCGCCTCGCCTACGCCGACGGCGCCAAGCCCACCCTCACGATGACCTCCCATCCCGGCGAGAACCCGGATGGAACACCGATCAAACTTGACCAGGTTGGCATCAGCCACATCTCCTTCAGCGTTGCCGACCCCAGGGCTCTGGCCGAAAACCTGTCGGCCCAGGGCGTCCCTCTGGCCGCGCCGATGGACGTTTGGACCAACGCCGAAGGCCGGGTCAGCAGCTTCTACGTCTATGACCCGGACGGCATCCTGGTCCAGTTCGACGCCAGCTGACCTCTTACCGTCAGCCCAACTGCCATCAGACCGCACGATCTGCTGCGCCAAACCTGATCGGCCCGAAGACGGGAAACACGGAGCGGACTATGGACCACGGTGCGTCGAGCATCACCCCGTTCCTGTGGCTCGACGGCTGCGCACGCGAGGCGGCCGAGTTTTACGTGTCTACTTTCAATGACTCCCGCATCATTGACGATTCCGCGCTGCCGGAAGAACCGGGCGCCGGCAGCCATGTGGTGTCGTTCGTAATCAAGGGCCAGCATTTCACCGCGTTCGAAGGAATCCCGGCCTACGAATTCACGCCGGCCATCTCCTTCGTGGTCAACTGCGATTCGCAGGAAGAAATCGACGACTATTGGAACCGGCTGGCCGAGGCCGGCTCGCCGATCCAGTGCGGATGGATACAGGACAAGTTCGGCGTCCACTGGCAGATAATCCCGGCCGAACTGCCATCGCTTCTCCAGGATGTGTCACGGTCGGCCGCAGTCCTGAACGAACTCCTTACGATGGTGAAAATCGACCTGCAGCGGCTCAAACAGGCGTATGAATTCGCCTAGAGGATGATCATGTCCCACCACTACGACGAGCACGACCACGACAAGCTGGTTCGCTGGCGGACCGATCTGCAGGCAACCCCGATCGATCCGGAGGGCTTCCCGGCGATGGCCCTATTTCTGGTCAAACCCCAGACTACCGGGTCCCACGAGATATTCCGGCGCTACCGCACCGAATTCGAAAACCGCGACGCCAGCTTCGCCCATCTGGTGGTCTTCGGAATGCACGGCGTGTCCGCCACCGTGCGCGGGCTCCTGGAACAGGTCGGGCTGACCGAAGCCGACCTCCCGGTGATGATGCTCGCCCCCGCCGCCGATCCTTGCGCGGTTACCGCGGTGCGCCTCCCGTCAGGGGAAAGCATCGAGGGCGGCGACGATCCCAACGGCGGCGGCACCTGCGACTACCTCGCCGCCTGGCAGGACGTCCTGGACCGCATCAGCATCACCAGAGCCGGTCGCCCGCTCCGCCTGATGGGCGTCCAGGGCCAGAAGGTGCACGGCGTGGACCTGCGCGAAGTCGCGAGCGCGGCGTTGGAGTCGGTCCCGGCGTCGTAGAGCCTGGAAGCTCCAAGGTGTCATGCAACGAGGGGCGGATAATTGATCCGCCCCTCGTTCGTCCTGTGTGCCCCGCTGGCAGCCTCCGCCCCTATTGCCGCACCAGCTTCACCAGCCGTCGGCCTTCCTGGTTGTGCCCGATGTAGAGGTCGCCGTGCGAGTCCGCCCACACCGCGTGTCCGCCGGCTCCGCCGATATCCGCCTTGGCCAGCACTTCGCCGTCCATGTTCAGGATAGTCAGGAACGCGTCCAGCTCCACCACGTACACGATGCCGTCGTGATCGACGTAGATATCGCAAGGACGGGCCAGGTCGGTCCACATCCCCAGGTATTCGCCGTCGCCGGTGAATAGCTGGATCCGGTTGTTCTCCCGGTCGCACACCATCACGCGACCGTCCCAGTGCACCCAGATGCCGTGAGGTATGTGGAACTCGCCGGGGCCTCGCTTGCCCGGGCGTCCCCAGGAATGCAGCAGCTTCCCGTCGGGCGAAAACTTATGGACCCGGCTGTTGGCGTAACCGTCCGAGACGAACAGGTCGCCGTTGGGAGCCAACGCGATGTCCGTGCATCGATTGAACGGGCCGGCCGCTTTCCACATCGTTCCATCGGGACGCGCCCCGCCCGTATCCGACGGCGCATCCCAAACCCCCATGGTCATCAGCGGTTTGCCGTCAAGCGTGCACTTGACGATGGCATGGGACTCCCGAACCGGCAGATAGACGTGATCTTCGCCGCTGATGTATATCCCGTGGGCGTCGGTCAGGTACTCCCGACCCCACTCGCCCTGGAAATTGCCCTCGCGGTCGAACACCATCAGCGGGTGATCGCCACGATTGAAGACGTACACCCGGTCCTGGGAGTCGCAGGCCGGTTCTGCCTGTCCGATGGCCCACCCATCGGGTGTTTTTGCCCAATTGCCCACGACCTCGTAGACGAAATCTCCGCTGCCTACCGTTGCCATCCTGTACCTCCAGTCAAAATGAAACTGACCCACCCAAGAGTTCTGTCGCCGTCATTACCCTAGCGTCAGACTACCCGCTGGAGAAACTTAGCCGCCTTATTGATTTCGACCGTTAGCTAGGTGCCCTCGATAACCTGAACAACGGGGTCTCCTGCGGTCACATACGAAGCCTGATCAGCGAAGCCCTCGTGCAGCGTATCGCGCGTCTTGAATTCCTCGGTCCGTCTCCCAAACGCTAGATCACCACGCAGTCGGATACCTCCAATGCTTTCGGTCCGATAAGTGGCTGCTAACGAGAATTTTTCTCTGACGCTCAATACGCGGATTCGGGCTTTCGTCCCAGGTCGAACTATACCAAGCACCTCACCGGTTTCTGGATCAGCGATTTCGAGAGTCCCGGGAACCAATATATCAAACAGCATGCCTTCCTGAACGTCATGATTTTCCCCAATGTTCAAGGCTACCGTTCTGTTAGAGATTACTCTCGCGACCTTGCCTCTGATTGGGTCGATCTCGGCAGGCTGCTTGGGCTGTCCGTCACAAAAATTCTGCTCGCTCAAGATTTCCTCCGACATCTTCGAACTCCTCCGGGATCAGATCGCGCCAATCATTAATCGCCGAGTTAGCGAGATCCATTTGGCTTTCAATCTGCAGTAACAGTGGCCACAAGCGGTCGCCCGCTTGATCAGTTGCCGCCACCTGCTCGACAGCGTCGTGAAGGCGTTGTAGACCACCAAATAGAACCAGGACGCTGCGCAACGCGGAGCGGGCGTACTGCTTGTCGGTGGCCGCACTTTGTCCAAACTTGTACGAGCCGATCAAGCCGCCAACCAGGCTGACTCCCAATATTATAATTTGGAACAGCACAGCTTCTCGCGGACTCAATTCGCGCTGAGCCGTAGTCCATATCATATAACCTGCAAACGCCAATCCGATCACAATTGAGACCACCACAAGTGTTACGTCCCACCGCAATCTTTTCCATGCGCGCATTATCATCTCGGTTCCCTATTGGTATCACCAATTGTCTGTTTCCTCATCGGATCGGACGTTTGCTTGACCGTCAATTACCGCGCCTGACGGCCAGGTTCATCGCCAGTTGGGCCAGCGTCCGGGTTGGTACTCGGTGGCCCCCTTCACCACGTGTCCCTTGTTGCCCGAGGCGGTGGAGGTGCCGGCGATGTCCAGGTGGACCCAATCCGCGTCTTCCGCGAACTCACGCAGGAGCATCGCCGCGGTTATCGAGCCGGCTTGCCGCCCGCCCGTGTTCTTCATGTCGGCCACGTCGGAGCGGATCAGCTCCCGGTAATCTTCAAGCATGGGCAGTTCCCAGAAACGTTCGCCGCTGCGCTCCCCGGCGACCCCGACGTCTTTCGCCAATTTGTGGGAGTTACCCATCATGCCGGTGCACGCCTTTCCCAGCGTTACCACCATCGCGCCCGTGAGCGTTGCCACGTCAACCAGCCGGGTGATCCCCAGGCTGCGCGCGTAGCACAGCGCATCGGCCAGCACCAGCCGACCCTCAGCGTCCGTGTTGATAACCTCGATAGTCTTGCCGTTCATCGCGGTCACCACGTCCCCGGGACGCTGCGCCCGCCCGCCGGGCATGTTCTCCGTAGCCGCGATCAGCCCGGTCACGTTAATGCGGGGCTGCAACGACCCGATGGCGCGCATTGCGGCGATCACGGAAGCGCCGCCGGCCATGTCTCCCTTCATCGCCTCCATGTTGGCGGCGGGTTTCAACGAGATCCCGCCGGTATCAAAGGTGATGCCCTTGCCCACCAAACCCAGGTTGTTCTGCGGATTATCCGGGTCTCCGCGGTAGGTCAGTACGATGAGCTTGGGCGGTTCCTCGCTGCCTTGCGCTACCCCCAGGAAAGCGCCCATCCCGTGCTCTCGCATCCGGTCCCGGTCCATGACATCCAATTCCAGACCGACTGATTCCGCAACCTCCCGCGCCGCTTCGGCCATCTTCGTAGGTGTCATCACGTTCGCCGGATGGTTCACCAGGTCCCGCGCCAGCATCGTCGATTCCGCCAACACCGTTCCCACGGAAACGCCGGCGGTCAGGTCGCTCACCGTTCCTGCATCGCGCTCCACAATCGTGACGCTGCCGACCCCGTCGCCATCACTGTCCGCGTCGCTATCTCCAGAGGTTCCGTTGCCGCCGCTGCGGTAGGTGTCGAACTTGTACAGGCCAAGCAGGGTGCCTTCGGCGATGGCCTGCGCCGACTCGACAGCGTTCAGCCCGCCGATGCCCGCGCCGTGGGCGATGGTCGCGTATTCGTCGACGCCTTTGCGCCGCAGGAACCGGGCCACGTCGCCACTGACGCGTCGCACGGCGGCCGTGTCGAAATCCGCCGGCTTGCCCAAGCCGGCCACCACCACACGCTTGGCGGAAACCCGGCCCAGCGTGTGGATCAGCGTCAGTTCGCCCAGCTTCCCCTTGATCTCGCCGTCGGCGATCAGTTGCGAAATCGCCCCGTCCAGCGCACGGTCGACGGCCCCGGTTCCGCCTCCCGGCTCCGTCACGCCCTGGAACATATTAACCACCAGCGCCGGAGTGGCGAACTCGGTAGCGTCTCCGGCTGTGACCTTGATCGTAGCTGCCATGCTGCTTCTCCTGAAACCGATTGTTCACCCGTCGTTGGCCAGATTATGCCAACCGTGTTGTTACGGCACAACCGGCTGCCAGCCAGTCCGTTGCAGGGTTTCTCGCAACACCGACTCCGTGTCCTCCGGACCACCGACCAGCAGGTGCGGCACCGGCACGGGTTGGTCGGCCACCGCCATGCGAGAGTACACGTCCCAGGTGGCATCGCTCTGCGAGGCATCTCCCCGTCCTGCGGCCCGGTCCGCAAGCCGTTGCCGCACCAGTTCCGCCGGCGCCGTGAAACGCACAATCAACGGCTCAACGCCAACCGCCTCGGCTGATTCGTATAGCGGTCGCCGCACGTTCTCGTTGAGATTGGTGGCGTCGAATACCACCGAATAGCCATCCCGCAGGTAGCCGCGGGTCAAAACATGCATCGCGGAAAACACTCGCCGGTGTTCTCGCCGGCTGTAACAGGGAGCATCGACCAACAGTTTGCGCGTGCGGTCGCTGCTCAACCACACGAACGGGGCCCAGCGGGCCAACTCCCTGGCGAAATACGACTTTCCGGTGCCGGGCAACCCGCAGAGTATTACGAGGTTCGGCGAGGCTCCCGCCGTGGCCGGCAATTCCTCAGCGTACGCCGATCTCAGAAGTTGCAAATCGGCCGGGCGCAGCCCCCCTGCCGTCCAGGACTTGCGCTGCGACCGAGACGTTGATCCGGACACCAGCGCTCTCCTTTGCGCCCGATTGCAGGAACCGGTTTGACGCTACACTAATAACGCCCGGAGGGCATATTGGACCACCACCAGCACGATCATCACCACCAACGGGCTGAAGTCGATCATCCCGGTCTGCGGCAGCACCCGCCTGATTGGCCCGAGCACCGGTTCCGTCAATGCAAACACGACCTCGTACAGGCGGGCAAGCACGTCCGGCGTCCCGTTTCCTCGCGTCGACATGTACTGCACCACGAAGCCCAGGATGATGCGGGCCAGCAGCAGCAGGTAGCACAGCGTGATGAATAGTGTAATGAGCTGGAGCATGGGCAATTTCCAAGTAACCGGGGGAGTCTAGTTCTGGCCCAGCCGCACTGATTTCAGGTATGCGGCGTTCACGGCGTCGACCAATGCCGCCGGGACACCGGCGCGTTCCAGGGCTTGCAGTCCCTCCGCCGTGGTGCCGCCCGGCGACGTGACCATGTCCTTCAACTCGCCGGGGTGCCGACCGGTTTCGGACACCAACTGGACGCTTCCCTTGACCGTTTGCAGCGCCATCCTCCGCGACACGTCGCGCGGCAATCCCACGTACACGCCGGCATCGATAAGAGCCTCGAGGATCAGGAACACGTAAGCTGGCCCGCTGGCGCTGAGCGCCGTGGCCATGTCCAAATATTTCTCGTCGTCGACGTAAATGGCGTCGCCAATGGTCGACAGCATGGCGCCGGTTGCTTCGCGGTGCGCTTCGCTCACGGAAGGAGCGCAGGTCCACATCGTCATGCCCTCGCCGATCTGCGCGGGCGTGTTCGGCATCACGCGAATGATCCCGTCGTGCTTCATCCCGTTTGCCAGCGAGCTCATCGTGGCCCCGGCCACAATGGACATGAGCGATTTCCCATCACCGAACGAGCCTCCGATATCCGCGTACACTTTCGGGAGGTCCTGCGGCTTCACCGCCAGCGCGATCAGTTCGGATACTTCGAGCACGGCACTGTTTACGTCGGAAACCGCGACCCCGTATCTTTCGGCCAGGTAGTCCCGCCGCGACGGTACCGGCTCTCCGACCATCACGTCGCCGGCATTCGCGACGCCCGCATCGAGCATCCCGCCCAGGATGGCCTCCGCCATCGTTCCGCCGCCGATGAAACCAATGTTCATCGCTCTAGTCCTCGCCCCAGGAATCGGTGAGACCGTCGCCTCTCGCGAAGGCCACCGCCATACGGATCGATTCCACCATCGAAGTGTGGTCCGCCAGGTTCTTGCCCGCTATGTCGAATGCCGTGCCGTGGTCCACCGACGTGCGGATGAAGGGCAGCCCAAGGTTGGCGGTAATGCTCTCCTCGAAGCCGTACACCTTGACCGGGATGTGCCCCTGGTCGTGGTACATGCACAGGGTCACGTCGTATCGGTCCTGGATCGCCTGGTGGAAGATGATGTCCGCCGGCACCGGCCCAATGGCTTTGATCCCCCTCACTCTGTGCCTGCTGCACCGCCGGGGCGATCTCTTCCGCCTCCTCGCTTCCCAACAATCCGCCGTCGCTGCCGTGCGGGTTCAACGCCGCCACGCCGATCCTCGGCTCCGCAAATCCCCACTTCCTGAAGTTCTCGTCCGTCAGCCTGAGGTAGTCGAGGATCCGGTCTTTCTTCACGTAATCGCAGGCCAAGCGCAGCGACCGGTGCGTGGTCAGATGCACCACACGCAGGGTTCTTGGCCATGAGCATCGTCGCGACCGTTTTCGCGCCCGACAACTCTTGCAGCAACTCCATGTGTCCGATGGCCTCGTAGCCCGCCAGCGCGGCAGCCTCCTTGTTCAATGGAGCCGTAGCCAGGCCGTCGACCACACCGGCCATCGCCAGTTGGCCCGCTTTGCTGACCCACTCCATGGCCGCTTTGCCGCACGGCACACTCAACTGACCAACGGTGATGTCTTCGGGATTCAGGTTCCCGATGTCCACCACGTCCACGACCGAAGGATCCTGTCCGGCCCCAGTAGGATCGTCCGTGCCGTTGATGCCAAGGCCAAGGCCGGTGAGGCGTGCCGCTTCTTCCATCGCATGGACGTTGCCCACCACCACCGGGCGGCACGCGGCATACACGCGCGGATCGGCCAGCGCCTTGACGACCACCTCCGGGCCAATCCCGCAGGGGTCGCCCATGGTGATGGCTATGGCCGGTCGCTGAACGCCGGTATCGGTTGCAGATGCCATCTCACGCCTCGTGCGCTAGCGCGCAATTTGATCCGCCAATTGGCGGCTGATTATAGCACGCAGTCGATTGGCATCACGCGGCTCCCGTAGCTGCCTGCGGTTGTCCGGATTGGCACATCGGTTTAGACTCGGCATAATACATCCCAGCCAACGCCTGTCCAGCGAGAATAGCGCATGATACCGCAGAAAAATTATGAACAGGACCGTGCCAAGCTCATCGAGGCGGTGCTGTACCTAAGCGAACTTTCGTTGGACGACCCTAATTTTGATATGGCAAAATTGGCCAAGCTCCTCTATTTTGCAGATTGCGATTCATACATCCATTACGGCGAGCCCATAACGGGGACTACGTACGTGCATTTCCCTCACGGTCCGTACCCGGAAAATTGGTATCAAGTCCGCGACCGAATGGAGGGAAACGGCGACGCCGAGGTATTGTACGAGTTGTCGAACGGCGGGTACCACCGCTATCGAATGTTGCCGCTTCGTTCAGCCAATTTGGAACGTTTGGGACCGTCTGACTTGGTGACCCTCGAGGCGCAGGTATCCCGCTTCGCCGGTTTTAATGCTGCTGGGATCGAGCAGTACTCGCATCAAGAAATCGCGTGGCTGTCTACCGAAGATGGCCAGCCAATGGCCTACGAACTCGCCGGCGTCATATCTGCCGCAATGTCGCCGCGAGACATTCAGGAAGCCAGGGTCATCAAGTGATCGGGCTGATGCTCAGCAGGCTAACCTCTTGGTCGTCTTCAATGATCTCGTAGCGGATTCGCAACTTGCCGACCGGGTCGCGAGCAGATCGTGGAAAATCGATCGCTCTCAGGTTGTCCGACCATTCCGCGATTCTGCGGGGAGCCCATGGCGATTGGGCGAGAAATCCCTTGATGTAGTCCAAGGTTGATGGGTCGGCCATTGGATTGATCCATCCCTCCCGTATCCCTAATCGCCAGTCGCTGTCAAACAGGTCAGATTGCATAACCGTGTATCGTCTACGTCGGTCTGGCGGAGACACGTTCTATCTCCACGTATCGCGATAAAAAATAGTCCATTATTAAATACCGAGGGCGGATACCTTTCCGCCCTCGGTAGTGTCTTATTCGCACTTGTTCCAGCCGCACGAATAGCAGGTCAGACAGCCCTCCTGGCTGACCACGCCTCCGTTGCATTCGGGGCACCTTTGGGAGAAGCCGGTCGGGTACGTGGGCGCCGACCCATAACCGTTCGTTCCGTTCTCCGTGGGTCCGCCGGCCAGGCTCAGTTGCACGCTCGTCGGCGCGCTGTCCAGGGCATCGCCGCCGTTGGTTATGTTGTCCAGCACCAGCGCAACCGCGTCCGGGCCCGACCCGACCAGCACGCCGTCGTCCCAGGCGGGGCAGCAGGTTATCCCACGCAACTGCCGGGTCACTTCGCTGGGTTCGATGCCAGCGCGCAACGCCAGCGAAATCAGGCGAGATACCGCCTCCAGCAACGCCGCGTCGCATCCGCCGGCCTTGCCCATGGCCCCGAACACCTCGAAGGGCATTCCGTCGGCGTCCATGTTCACGGTGACGTACATGTTTGCCGTGTCCCGTCCGCACCCGTTCGGTGATGCCGTGGATCTGCCGCGGCCGGCGCCGGGGCACCCGTTGGCCGGGCCCGATGATCTTCACCGCGTCCGGGTCGTCGGGATCCACCGGGATGTCGTCCTCAGATTGCTGCGCGGCGTTGCCGGTGCTCAACACCTGCTCCGCCTTGCTGCCGTCGCGGTACACCGTGATTCCCTTGCACCCCAGGGTATAGGCGGAACGGTAGGCTTCCGCCACGTCTTCCACCGCCGCGTCGTGAGGGAAGTTGATCGTCTTGGATACCGCGTTGTCCGTGTATTCCTGGAAGGACGCTTGCATCCGCACGTGCCACCGGGGGTCGATGTCGTGGGATACCCGGAACAACGTTCTTGACCCAGTCGGGCACGTCCAAATCGTCCAGAGATCCGACGCTGGCCAGCTGTTCCATCAGTTCCGGCGAGTAGAACCCTTCGTGGCGTGCCACGGCTTCCAGGTAGGCGTTGCCCTCTACCAGTCGCGTGTTGTCCATCACGTTGCGGACGAAGGACAAGGCAAACAATGGCTCGATCCCGCTGGAAGCCCCGGCGATGATGCTGATCGTTCCGGTGGGCGCGATCGTCACCGGAGCCGAGTTACGCATCGGCGTCGAAGTCGGTCCCTCGTTGTAGGCGCTGTTTTCCCACTCCGGGAACGGGCCCCGGGACTCGGCCAGTTCGCACGATGCCCGGTAGGTCTCGTCCTGGATGAATTTCATGACGTCACGCGCCAATTCCAGGGCTTCCACGCTGTCGTAGCGCACGCCCATTTGGATCAGCAGGTCCGACCATCCCATGACGCCCAACCCGATGCGCCTGGTCCGCCGGCTCATGTCGGCTATCTCCTGGATGGGATAGTCGTTCATGTCGATCACGCAGTCCAGCATGTGCACCGCGGTCGTGATGACTTCACTCATCCGTTCCCAGTCAACCAGCACGTCATCGTCCGTGTAACGCACCATCCTTGCCAGGTTCAGCGAACCCAGGTTGCAGGATTCGTATGGCAGCAGCGGCTGCTCGCCGCACGGATTGGTCGACTCGATGTCTCCCAGCTGCGGGTTCGGGTTGTCGCGATTGATGCGGTCCAGGAACACGATACCCGGGTCGCCGGTGCGCCAGGCCAGCTCCGTCATTTGTCGGAACACTTCGCCGGCGTTGAGACTCCCGACCACGTCCCCGGTGCGCGGGTTGACGAGATCATAGTCCTCGCCGTTTTCCGCCTTCACCATGAAATCTTCCGTAACCGCAACGGAGATATTGAAGTTGCTGAGACGCGTTCCGTCCTCTTTGGACCTGATGAACGACAACACGTCCGGGTGCGTAACATGCAGGATGCCCATGTTCGCGCCCCGGCGGGTGCCGCCCTGTTTGACCACGTCGGTGGCGGCATCGAAGGCGTTGATGAAGCTCACCGGGCCCGACGCCACGCCTCCGGTCGACCCCACGACGTCCCCCTCCGGGCGCAGTCGCGAAAAGGCAAAGCCCGTGCCGCCGCCGCTCTTGTGGATCAGCGCCGTCTCCTTCACCTTGGTGAAGATGGAATCCAGCGAATCCTCGACCGGGAGCACAAAGCACGCCGACAGCTGCTGCAGTTCACGCCCAGCATTCATCAACGTCGGCGAGTTCGGCAGAAACTCCAGCCGTCGCATCACCCGGTCAGAAACCGCTCCTGCTACGCGCGGCGCTCCTCTTCGTAGCGCCATATTCCATCTCGATGGGACAGGTTGTGTCGCGCCACCCGGCGGAACATCCCTCCGGGTCTTCAAGATGTTCCCTTCCCGGTCCTTGACAGGTAACGGCGTTGCAACACGACCCTTGCGTTATCGGTCAGCGTGCCATTTCGATCGTTGTATTCGCCGGCTATCCCGGCGCGACCATTGCGTCGCGTAGTGCTCCGCTCACGGGATCTCGGCCGACCAAGCCCTTCCCGCGCGCATCAATTCCCGTAGCCTTGCACAGCAATCACACCTCAACTCAACTACTATTGAACAAATTTATGATTGGCAAGACAAGCACACGTATACTCTATGAGGTTCCCCTGGCACCGCTGTAGTCTAAACCATCAACCCTCTCTATCGCGCCGGGTTTACCGGCCTGACGTGGCGGAACGCTCGGCGCGCCGGCGTGCCCGTCCGCACAGTTATCAGCACTACGTCCGACCTCTTTGCCCGCTCGCTCCCCTTTCAGTCGTGCGGACAGGTCCAGGTCAAACCGCAACCCCTTGTAGAAGTACAGCACCGGTGTCTCGCGTTTGCGGCCGCAGGTCCACTCCACCAACGCAGCCGTGGCGTCCTGCACGCGATGCCAAACTCCTTCTCTCGCCCGGGGTTCCCCTGGTGACCAGGCGTACCACCCCGGCCGTCATGCTGATTCCCAACCGGGTCAGCGTATCCGCCACCAGGTCTGCGAAATCTCGCAATGCTCCGTAAGCGTACTGGTGACCCGCGGTCAGTCGCAATGCCAGTCCCGTGGGTGTGTTCCGACAATTGGTCACCGGAAAGGCGGTTCGCAACTGCTGGGTAATCGCGGTCTCGGACCCCTCCGGGCACGGACCGCAGTTGATCTCAACGTTGTAATGCACCGAATGTTGCATTTCTTCAGGCTCCGAGCTTTAGGCTCATCTGGAGTTGATTGGTCGACACCCCGGCGGGGCGGAGCCAAGTCCGCCGCCGCCGGTTGTCTCGGACGGTTTACGCGTTCACGCAATGAGGTCGTCATCCTCCCGTTGCGCCGGCAAAGCCGCCCAGCAACTCACCAGGCAGGCCCGGGCCTCTCGGTCCAGGTCATCCTGAAGTTCGGCAAAGGGGTTCGGAATCCACGAATCGCCATTGTCCACGCCGCTGGTCTCCCAGTCCGACGGGACCCACATCTGCCGCAGCATCCCCTCCATGTCGTGGACCCGGTTGTTGTGGGTCAACAGCCTTGTGAAGGCGGAGATTGAACGGTGCTGCTCATGATGGTGTTGAACACCTCCCTAGGGGTTGTGGATGGCGAGCAGGTGGCAATGTTGCCAATTTGGTTTTGACCTGGACGCCCGACAATGGTGGCGATGCCGGTGCGCCCTTGAGTCCTCAGGTAGATGGGTCTTAAAACGATCCTCGGATCACGTCCCGGCCCACCAAGAGCCGGACGTGGTTCGGCCTATTTACCTCCGCGGCCCGGTGGCGCGGCGGGCCGAGGCTTACGGGGTGTGACCGCCGCCAACTCAGCAGCGGTTCCGGTTGTCCCTGTCGCAGCGAACGGGCTTGTTCTTCGAGTCGTCCGCCCCCTGGAAGTCGTAGTACAACCGACGCGTATCGCATGTACTGCGACTCACTCCCAACGCGCGCAACCGCTCCAGCACCATCAGTCCCAAGTCTCGGGACTTGACGACGCCGCTGCCCCAACCGTTGGAGCTTCTGATTCAATGTCGTCAGCCAACGGTCGATGTCCCGGCGGGGGATCGGCCTTCGCGTGCAGGCCATGTCGATCCCGGAGACCACTTGGTCGCGGCTGAATTCCTGCCGCTTGCCGTCGCGCTTTTCCACTTGCAGCGCGGCAGCGGACCCTGTTCGTGCGTGGTGAACCGACGGCCGCAGGACAGGCATTTCCGCCGCCTCCGAATGCCGTTGTCGGCATCCCTCGAGTCGGTTACTTTGCTTTGTACAGTCTCGCAATATGGGCATTTCATCGGTTGGGTTACCTTTTGGTCGTTTTTTCAGACAGTTTTTGAAAACGGTATATATTGTGTTTTGGAACCCGATAACCACAACTTGTGGTAGTCAGGATTATAACCGAGCGCGATTCCAGTGCGCACAGTGAATGCTGTCAGATTTTCCCTGCGATTTCGCGGATTTTTCGACCCGCCAAGCGTGGAGGCACAAAAATAAGCCCCCTCTCCGTTTTGGAGAGGGGGCCGTTGGCGTCGAAGGGTGACCGGTCTACCGGTAAAATCCCCGGCGATTCTGACGGTTCTGCAGGAACGTCGGCAGTTCGTAGTCCCTTCTTTCCGGGACGTCCATATCTGCCAGGAGCTTGGCGATGTCATCTTCCGGGGTCTCCGTCACCACCGGGAAGTCAGCCGCCACCATTGTCATCTTTACCTCGTCGTCCAGCCGGGCATCCCGGTTGGTTCCGAAGATGATGTTGGCGTTGGGGTCGGCCAGATCCTCGACCACCGCCGCCGCTTCCTGAACTTCCTGCAACGACAGGTTGTTGCCGCCGGTCAGCACGAAGAGGATCCGTCGCGACCCTTCCAGTGAGATGTCCAGCAACGGACTGGAGGTGCACTGCCGGGCTGCTTCCCGGGCCCTTCCTTCACCGCGTCCACGGCCAATGGACAGCCAGGCCTGGCCCGCGCCGGTGAGGATCGTCTTCACGTCGGCGAAGTCCACGTTGATCTCGCCGGGCACGGTGACCACTTCGGCGATCGCGCTGATCCCCTGGTGCAACACCGAGTCGGCCAGCTTGAGCGCGTCTTCCCACGAGTAAGAATCGGCCTGTTCTTCATTCAGGGCCAGCAGTCGATCGTTGGGAATAACGATCATGGGTATCGACATGGTCCCGCAGTCGTTCCAGACCGTCCTCGGCGTTTTTCCGCCTCATCTGGGCTTCAAAACCGAACGGCCGGCTTACTACCGCGATGGTCAGAGCGCCCGATTCCTTGGCTATCTGCGCGACCACCGGAGCGGCGCCGGTCCCGGTACCACCGCCCATGCCGACTGCCACGAACACCATGTCCGCGCCGTTCACCGCCTGTTCGATTTCCGCACGCGACTCTTCCGCCGCCTGGCGTCCCAGTTCGGGTTGGGCGCCGGCGCCCAACCCGCGCGTCAAGTTTCGACCCAGCGGGATACGGTAGTGCACATCGCACCGGGCGAGGTGCTGCGCGTCCGTGTTCCACGCGTAATATTCGACCACCGGCAGCTTTTCTTTATACATGCGGCTCACCGCGTTGGAGCCGCCGCCCGGCCCACGCCAAGCACTTTTATCAGCGGAACCCCCCGTCCGAACTCGGGTATCAGGCCATCGGTGTCATCAAAGCGTTCGGGTGGTTCCCATGACGCGGAGTTATCGGGAAATATCATCGTCCTTTCGCCTCCTGTTATTTTTACTGCTGTTGGGCTTTGTCGATTGTCAAACTATTCCGAATTCGCCCGCCATGCGGCGCGCGTTCGGTTATATGTGATCTACTCTTCTTCCAATTCTGGCGAAGCCGCTGCTTGTCGCGAACCGGAACGCGCGAACGGCCGCCGGAAAAGCGACGCCGGCGACCAGTTCCGGTCTCCGGAACCTCGCGGCCGCTCCTGGTCCGTCCGATTGCGATGTTTGACGGCCCATTGCAGGGCGCCCAGCACGGCGGAGAATTCCGGCTGCCGCAGCGATTCGGGCAATCCCGCATACCAAAGCGGATTGCCCACGCGCACCTCGGTCCTCAAACCACGGGAGGCCATTTCGGCGAGCCCAGGCATGCGAGACACGCCACCCGTGAGCACGATACCTCCCGGAGGAACCGAACCCATCTCGGCCTTGTAGAGCTCCTCGCTCAGGAGCTTGAGCAATTGCAACGAGCGCAGATATAGCGGCTCGCACAACTCGCGCCGCAACACCATCCGCTTCGGTTGTACCTGGGTCGCCGGGATCAACACCTCTTCGGTGGGCGAAATCGCGTCGGGCAGCACGTGACCGACCTGGATCTTCAGGTCTTCGGCCATCTGGTACGGTATGCGCATCGCCACCGCCAGGTCCCTGGTGAGCTGATTGCCGCCCACCGGCACCACCGAGGAATATACCGGCGTTCCTTCGCGATACACGGCCGTCTTGATTGTCCCGGCTCCGATGTCGACCACCACGACGCCCATCTCGCGCTCGTCAGCGGTGAGCACGCCTTCGGCCGACGCCAGCGGGTGGGCGACCATGCCTTCGACCTTGGCCTTGCACGCTTGCAGCGCCCGCGCGGTGTTCCCCAGCGGCACCGCCATCCCGCGCACGATATGAGCCTCCAACTGCAACTCGTTGGTGTCGAGGCCGGTCGGGTTGCGCACTCCGCCCATCCCGTCGAGCCGGTATCGCATCGGGATCATGTGCACGGTCTGCGCGCTCCGGCTGTCCAACTGCTGCTGCAGGTTCCCGGACGTGTCGCTCATCAGCGAACGCAGCCGCTGCTCGGTGATCGTAACCACTTCTTCACCACGTCCCAGCATCTCCGTCGAGTTGGTGCTGACCAGGTGATCTCCGTTCACCACCACGTAATAGCGGTCCACCGGATTACGACCCACGTAACGCAGACACTCTGCCATGCTCTCCTGCAGGCTGTTCTTGACCTCGCCAAAGTCGTCGATTACGCCCTGCTGGATGCCGTTGGACGGAGCCACCCCCGTGCCCAGCGGCTTCAATTCCCCTTCTGGACCCAGCCGCGCAACGATCGAAACAATTTTGCTGGTTCCTATGTCAACTGCGGCGTACATCGATTCTTGTGGCATGTCGGCCTTACCTCGGTCGGATGTGATTATGCAAGAGAATAAATATTGGTGAACGGGAGGTGGATCAGATGCGTTCCACCGCCCTGAGACGCGCGCTTCTGCTGCGCGGGTTGTTGTCTGTTTCCGCATCGGAAGGCCGCACCACGCGCCGCCGAACGAATCGCACCGTTGGCTCATGGTCACAGGCG